GTGCTTGAGGAGCAGACCTGATCCCATGGCCATCATTTCAGGGAGGTAGGGGTTTTTGGAGAAGTGAAGAAATTGGGAGCACTTGTCAAAGAAGATTCTAGTAAGAGAATTGACATAATTCAGCAAATGTTTTTGGGTGGTGAATAAGAACACACTATTTCCTTCCTGGCAAATCCCTCATTTATCACCTGGAAGCAAAACTAATTGAGTGAGTCAAATGAGAACTATAAAGTATGCTGTTAATAATCTCCTTTGTGTAATAATTCTTTGTCATGCAGATATGCATATAATTTGCATTTCCCAAGAGATTGTGTTTGTGATTAATGAGAAGAAAACAGGCCAGACTTTACCTTCAGCAGGATGAGCCTATGTCTGCTGTAGAATTGTCAAAGGTGTTGAAATAACATATTATTTAATGTGAAATTTAAACTAATTCTAGCTTCAAATTGTATTAGTTTATCACTATGTGCTTTTCCTGATGCCTTGGGAGTGGTATTCCTTAAATCTCACAAAGAGAGGTTCTGTTTCACTGAGGAGTACCTGCAGCTGATACGGTGGCAGACTGGCATCATTCTAATATTCCAAGCAAATCGGTATGGGTCAAAGCAAACCAGGAAATCTGCAATCTCTGCATCTGGCATTTCATCTGAATTGACCTGGCAGGGAGAAAAGGAATGGCAGGAGGGAGATGGGAGAGTGAGGAGAAGCCCTGGCTTTCAGGTGGAATTGTAATAATTCCTTTATGGCAGTGTGTTAGCATAGAGCCTGTGCCAGTGAAATTAGCCTRCCTTGTACTGGATAAACAGCGCCTGGGCTGAGACAACAAACCTGTTGATCTTATCTGTCAACACCTCGATCTTCATCTGGGCTTGGACTTATCRTCTGCTCTGTCAACAGTTCCCCCATAGAGAAAAGAAATAGCAAAAGCAAGAGTAAAAGCAGCCTCCAGCACACAAGAAGCTTTTTGCTGGAGCAACCTGCCAGTCCACAAAACCATGCTGCTTTACAGAGGAAAGCACATTGTTACTGGAGAAGATAGCTTCTGGGCAATGCTCAACAGTGGGATTACAGGGAATTCCATCTTGGACAGCAGCTTGGTGACACAGACTGGGAAGAGCTTGCAATTGAACTTGCTCACCAAAAACCTCAGAAATTTAGTGATACCTTTTCTTCAATTTTTTTTGATTTTCATTTATTCATTTGTGTCTGTATCTCAATGTAATGGAGAAATATAGCCAAACAAGCAAACAAAACCTGRCTCACAATGCGTCCATTAACGGAATATTCTGCTTGGAAGTTTTATCAGTGAAACTRGGGACCCAACACTGCGTTTCCCTCCCTTGCAGCTCACTTTTCATCTTCAGTTTCACTTTCCTTGTCTGTCAAGCTGTCAGGAGAAGATGGCCTTTCGTTATGTGAGCAATGGGAGTTATCCCTGGATGAGCATTAGCTCCATAGCCAACATCACCTGCCACTGCATAATACTGACTTGGAGAAATCCATGAAGGAAAGATTTATCAGGGTGCCCACGTGCTGATAGAAAGTGACTGACTCTCTTCCCCRTTTGTATTTCCATTTACTGCAGAGCCATTAGAGGCAAAGCAATCCCAAGAGTGTGAGGAAAGCCATATCTTGGAGAAGGAAGATCCATTCAGGGATGACTGCCTAGACATGCTCTGCTCAATGAAACATATTGTGAGGGTTCAAACTCCTATTAAAAGGATCAGCCWGTTCCTTTCTGAAATGATTTGTGCAACTGTGAAGCCTGTAACATCCTTACGTCTTTAACAAGGAAAAGAAAAAACTACTTAAATTAAATGCCTTTGGTACAAAGAGGATCTGGCAGTGGCCAGCTTTATATTATTAACATTTCCCAGGAGTGATGTTCCACAGTGGCAGGCTGATGTAATTACCAGAAGTGAAGTTGTAAGTACTATTGAAAAGACCAAGAGATTTGCTAGCGACTTCAAAGAGGTAAAGATGTGTGTGGATTTGCACGGGGATAGAAAATGCAATGGGTTAGAAAATCAGGTCCTCCAGTGTCTTTAATCTTTTGTGGGCTTTATCCAGACAGTTTGGTCTACAGGGGATTTAAATTAAGTTGCAAAAAAGACTTCTCAAACTTTCTATCTGAATGTTATATTMTGTGGGGTTTATACTATTAGCTTAAAAACTGACCTTTTCTAAGCTTTTTGGATTAATGACTTGTGGGCAGCTAATGCTGGCATTGGCAAGGAATTTACTTTTATGATGAGAAGGCGGATGATGATCTAATAGTGATTTGCCTCTATCCAAGAAATTCRCATATCTATTAAAAGATGAAAGAAAGGTCTTGGAATGAACCAGTAAATTATAAAAAAAATGACAGGTCAGGATAAAGTACACTGGAAAATACATTTGAGAGAACTTGTAGTACAAAACCTGATACAGAGAAGCACTGTGAAAGTATATGATCAGATATTTAGACCTTTTTTGGTACTATTTTTGTAATGATTTTGATACAATTGCTCAGATTTGCTGTGAMTTATTTATAACATATCATGTGCCAGGTTTTGTGGTTTAGTTTTTCTCCTTTTTCTTTCCTTAATGTAGGTCAGTCTAAAATGAGAAAAAGCAKYCAACTAAGGGAAAAATTCACTTGTGATTTAACATAACCTAGTGTCCCTATGGATAATGGAGCAAAAGGACACCTTCTCTCAGACTGTGCATTGTGACAAGATGTCCCAGGGGATTCACTGTTTGGTGGATCCTCCCTGTAGTTATACAGCAAAGGTGGGAATGTCACTTCTGTATGGTAGAAAGATATTTTCAAAAATGCTCAGCCTTGTGAAAGAACTATAAATAGTCTGGACCAAAGATCATGGCAAAGATCCCTTCAAATATAAAAAAGCATCTTTTAAAAGATTTCCAGCTCCCATTCAGATCTTGCCACTAGCTGACTTTTCCCTCTGGCCTCTAGATAACAGCACACATGAAAACCCAGCATTATAAGAATTTTATGCAGGTRAAACCTGAAATAAGTTAAGGCATGCTTCACCAGGCAAACAGCCTTCCATTAAAAGAAATGTTTCCGCCATGCCTTGGTTTCGCTCTGTGTTCAATTGGAATAAAGATACTTACTCCACAGCAACACTGCATGGTTAAAGCTGGCTTGCTTTTTTGAGACCTCTGGAGAGGAGCTGACATGGTGGGCTGGGGATGGCTGGGGATGGAGTAGAAGTGAAGTAGTTATGGGCCCTCAAAAAGGCAGGAAGAGGACTCAGTAGGAGCTAAATGGAGCCTGTGTTAAACACCAGCTGTGGGAGGTGATGTCCATCCCCTGCCTTCTGTCTCCAAGCCCTTTGCTGGGCCGTCACTGGGGTCTGAGAGTGCTGCAGCCAAGGCTGAAGTTAACAGGCAAGGCTACAGGATGATCTAGATGGACTGTGAATGCAGGAAAAGAGGGAGTGCTTGTTCTCTCTCTTCACACCCAAAAAAAGGAAAAGTACTACTTGTGCCTTTCTCCCAGCTCAGGCATTTCATAGATAACACTGTAAAATGTCTACTCTTTTTGATTATTCTTATAAGGACATGTACCAGCTCTCTGACTGCATCTCTTTTTCTCAGAGGTGTCACATGGGTGTAAGGTGTTGGTGCAGAAGAGGGCTGTAGTTGGGCATAGGGGGCATCCTATTTCCTAGGTTAACTTACTCATGCACTCTGGCTGGCTGAGGAACAGACTGAGCACAGARATAAGGCAGAGGGCACATGAGTCAAGGGAAGACCATTGCCATTATTTGCTTGTTCTGACAGAATATTGCCACCCACATGAGGGGAGTCTTGTAGGAATGTTATTTTAGCATGGGAGATGTTCCTTTTAAGCTGGAACATCATGTTGTTCATGATGTCTGGACTAAGCCAAATACTTAATCGGAGGCCAAGGAAGACCATGCTGGAAGAGGAATATTCCTTTCATGTGTAGTGTGTGAGATAAGACTTGCTTCCTAGGTCTCTTTCAGATTTTTAAGTAATGTTTTCCTACTGCATCATTGGGCTTCCCATGAGTCTCCTCCCTTTGCATGCTCCATTATTTGCAGGGGCTCTTTGCAGTCTTTACCACAGGTCTTAGTTTGTCAGAGGGCATTAGGAAACTATTTTGAAGCCTCTAACAGTCAGTGGCATGTGGAGGTGATGCTCTAGGGCCCTGTTGGGATTAAACATTTACTGCTTGGCTTGTCTCGGATGACAGGGATGTGGCTGCTCTTCTCTTCCTAYGCAAACTGGCAAAACTCTGCATTTCAGCAGCTGGGAAACCAGCCTTGTCGGCACCAGTCCTCCTTTATAGAGAGGAGTAGCTTAGCCTGAAAGCACAGAGTTCCAGAGCAGTGCTCCCTGTCCTGCAGCACAAAACTCTTTGATGAGCAGGAGATCCTGGGAGTGCAAGTGAGGGGATTTCTGAGTGCACATCTTGTTTTACRGGCCATGGAATTGGCATCTAATGAACGTGGGCACTCCTCCCCTCTCACTGGAGAGGTAAGCATAGGCAGCACAAATAAATAGATATAAATTTAGGCTGTCAGAATGATATCTGACAAGACAGAAACATACAAATCAGCTGTCACCCACCACTCTCCCTAGGTGTGATGCATGAGGTGCTGACAAGTTTCCAAAGGGAGCACAGACACCACACACATCACAAGTGCCCCTGCATTGATTTTGATGACAATATTTGTCTCTGTGCCTGGGCACAAGGGTCCTCTCAGCCTCCATTTTGCTGTGCTAAGCTTCACTAGACTCCCTAGCCTGGCTATCTTAATTTTCTAGTGCATAACAGTTAACAAGGCTGTCTCAGTTRCTTTTGTGTTTTGTCACTTGTCTTACCAACTATGAGTAGCTGGGTGCATCTATCTGGTATTTGACAAGCTATCAACCAGTATGCTTAGGGTTAGTGTTGTCTGTGGGCAAGGAATAACCCTTTTTCAGAGCACAGCACTCACCTCAACAAAGTTGCCTTTGCTTACCTTTCCAAAACCTCTCAGGTGTGTACTCTGTCCTGTTGTCTGTCATTCCTAGGAAAAGAAATTAATCTCAACATATCCAGGTTCCAAAGCACAGTAACAGAGCAGCTCAGAGTAGGAATTMATGCAAGGAATTACTTTGGACAAGGGCCTGTTTGTGTTCATCTCTGCTTTACACTACATTTATTATAGAAAGGATTTTGTTTGTTGTTTCACCTGTGAGTGAGTGTAGCATGCACTCACACTGACAAACTGACTTCTAGCAGCCACCATGGACTCTGCTGATGGCAAAACCACCCTGCAAATTTGCAGATTACACGAAAAATGGTCTGTGGTGTTTAAACCACTATAAAAGAYTTCCTGATGAGCTTGTATCTGGCACATCATCGGATATCACACCTATTTACCAAGCAGAAGTTTTAAGACAACCCAGAACGGATCCTCACCGCTTCTTGTTGTTGCTGATGTCTCATTACKTGCCTTGAAGGTGATCTATATGTGAAGTCAGCAGAACTGCAGTGGTGTTCATGGATACCTTAGGATTGTGTTGGGGTTTAAGGTAATTATCAAATGAACTCAGGCAATCATGTTTTACCCATATATACCAAGTTTCCCCTGGAATGCTCAAGTGGAAAAAGTCCTTCCCATTACTCTGTTAAGAAGACTTTACAGCAGCAGTTTAGTTACCACATCCTGTTCAGCATAAGACACCATGTGCAGTGATAGGCAGCYGGCCTGTATTCACATGTAATCTCTGTCATTTTGGAAGCAGCACAGAAAAAGCCAGAAAATGAGAGATTTTATATAATGGGTGTAGACAAAAGGGCTCACCTCAAATTCAAGCAATCCCATCTCATAACATTTGTTCCCATTACTCCAAGGGCACCTATGTGCCCCTCTGGATTCAGCTTTCCGAGTGGAACTCGAGCTGGATGAGAGCAGGGAGGTGGAGGCAAGCAGGGTGCTTTTGGCTCCTCCTGAAGGCTGTTGCATCACAGTCAACACATCTTTGAGTCAACACATCTCAGACCTCCCACGGAGAGCAGAGCTGGCTCTTTAACTGTGCAAGACCCAGCAAAATAACTTCAGGGAGCTCTCCCCAAGCCAATGTGCTGAGGTCATATATGACAGTCACAAATATTTCCCAGATTACCAAATCATGTGTGTTGGATAAAGAACTTAATTTTTACTTTTTATTTAAATTACTGTAAAGCAAAGATTAGAAAAAAGACTAAAAATCATACAAATAAATATAATACAAGGTGATACAAATAAAAATCACAAATACAAATTTAAAAAATCATACAAGGTGGTGTCTGAATCAATGACTACGGCCTTTTGCCTTTTGTATTAAAAACCAGAAACAGAGATGCAGAATCCAACCTTTGCTTCTTCACTTTTTTTTTTTTTTTTTTTTTTTTTTTTTTTTTTTTTTTTAAGGTTCTTCTTTTAACACCACCTAAGAAAGCAGTTTTCTGGGAAGCTTCTTAAAATGAGGGAATCCCCAAAGGAGGCGGTAGAAATTTCTGTGTTGTGAGCCTTATACACCACRGGAAAGAAAGGAGGTATTGTTGGAAGTGTCAAAATACCTGGAAAAATAGTAGCAGAGGCCTTGGCTGACTGGTATTATTTAGARCAGGATTGAGGATGCTTGGGGGTGAAACAGAAAACTAGAGAACTTTGATTAGTTCCCTGATTATATGTATAAGCCATCCACAAGGAAATTGAGGCTGACATTTTTTGGGAGAGACTGCTATCTGGTGAAAAGTCTCTGTTCTGGCAAAGTAGGGAAAAACCCCTCAATACATATGTTGCTTTCTTCCAGAAGATCATATACAGCATCTGTTTCAGCACACAGGTGAGACTGACAAGGTAGCTGCAGTACCTGTTGAAAGGTAATGCTTTTCTCACAAGCAACACAACAGATCAGAAAAAACAGCAGAGCTCTGATGATATGCAAGGCTCTCATATTTGTCATTCACATGGGATAACACTCCCACCACCACTGGCTGAAACTTGTATCCTTGATTGAGAAYGACATTTCGTCATTTCTGCAAAAGAGCAAAATTCCTCTGGTGAAGAATTCAAAGTTTAAGCAGAGCTAGAATTGCTCAATGTCATTAATAGGGCCCAGACTGAGCTTTTGTGCTGAAATAGCAACAATATATGTGGAAAAAAAAAAATTAGGAGGTTAAGAAAGCAGGCAGGAGGCCCTGGAAGGGTGTAAACCAGGCAAATCCCTGTTCTCCCAATTAACATCTTGTTTCTGTTCTTTCATATTTCTTCTCTGTCTCTAYTTTTCATGTGCATATTTTCTGCAAGGGTAAACCCAGTTTGGACACAGGAAGGTCAAAACATTCTTACCATGTTTGTGGCGCAGAACACAAGCAGCCTCTTCGAGTGTGGGCCAGGTGTGTGCTCAGCTGATGCTGAAATCATGCCAGGTTTTCTACAGAGCAGAAACATACACATACATACATGCATATATATATATATACACACAATGTATATGTGTATATGTGTATTTGTATATAACATACATACATGCATATATATATATGTATGTGTGTATTTATATATGTATACATGCATGTAAGTATCTATAAATTCATGAAAATGTATTTATGCATGTTTATGCTTAGGTACATGCTCTGTGCATWTTCTTGACTGTGCTGTCTTCCACTTTACAGCAGCATTTCAACAAAGTATATTTTTTTTAATGGAAAATCAGGTCACTGTTGCATAATTAGGGAAATAAAACAAAAGCTACTCCTCCTCACTACCCAAACAAGAAGATTTTTGGGTTTAAGGATCCTGACAGGAGGAAGTTGTTAGGAGTTGTCTTCTCAGCACATSCCAGGTCTGTGCTTGGCTGTTCTGACAGTAAGCAGCCTCACAGCTCCACCCATTAACACAGCCAAGTGAATTTGTCCAGCCTCACTTCAGACAGCAAGAGGTGAGGAAACAGCTGGGCCTTCAACCAGCCCCAGTGTTTCACTAGAAACACATCTGGGACGTGCTCATMGAACACATTCTGGAGAAACAGTGAAGAGAAACAAATCTGAGTCTCCCTTGCCAGGGCTCTTATGTTTTTGTGGGTCCATCCATCTGAGCCAGCCATAGGAACTTGTGGCTGTGTAAGAAAAGCTTTGGGTTTTGTCACCCTGCTAGTGCAGACTTCTGTCAGCACACAATGTGTACTGGAGTGYTGTGGAGCTCACAGTTCTGTCACATGCCCTTGAACGAGGATTTTATCAAGGTGAAAACACTCACTGCTAGAAACAAAGCAGTAGACATCTTGGTTTGTTTTGCTCAATAACCACATGGATGCTTTGTCTTGATGATTCCCTGCACTCAGACTGACTTTTTCCTACCAACTTCAGATGCATCAAAATAGTGTATTTCATTCTAGGACAAGAACTTCCTTCCTAATTTTAGAGGATTTTGGTTTTTTTTTTTGGTCAGTACATGCCCTTCAGAAATGTAAGTGGCATGAATTAACCCTCCTGCATGAACCTATAGCCCTTGTTGAGCTGTAGATTTGCACTGCAATAAAGCGATTTTGGTTTTTTGTATCCTTCAGTTTTGCATGCTGGGTCCCTAAATTCAGAGGCTTAATAAGGAGTCCAAAGATAAGCTCACAGTCAAGAGTCATAAAATGGGCAAAGTTGGAAGGGAGCACTGGAGGCCACGTGATCCAACCTTCTTGCTTAAGCAGCGTGCCCTAAAGCACATTACTCAGGATTGTGTCGAGACAGCTTTTGAATATGTCCAGGGAAGGAGACTAGAATTTTTCACCAGTGAAGCGTTGTGCTGTTTTCTAGAAAACTGCTGATCTTTAWACAACAATCTGTGCGTGTATATCCAGACGAGTCCTCTTTTGGCAAGAAAGAATACAATGGAAACCCAGCAATAGGCATTAGAAATAATTTCCTAACATGATACTATGTCAGGTCCCAGCTGAACAGAGTTAAACTGTCAACCGAAGAGCTCCTCATCACACTATGTAGACTGGATTGATGATCTCAGACAAGACAGATTTCCTGCAGATTACAAAGGCATATCCTAACACTGAGTCAGATCGTGGCCAAAAATTATGGATAGCTTGAAGATAATGCCCTGCAGCAACAGGAAGCCTGCCACAAGGCTGCCAAAGGCTGGCCACATTTTCAACTGCACCCAGCAGGGCCAGCATTTTGTGAGTCACATTATTTGGCTGCTGATATCTATAAGAGATGTCAGGTTTTTTTCCCCCAGCCTCTGGCCAGCTTTGGATTTGGATTTGGTGGGACCCAGGAGCTGCTGCACACAGGCAGATAGAGCACTGCAGCTGCTATACCTCAGCCCATGCTGTGTTTGGTGGCATTTTTCCTCCAGGCAAGACAGACCATCCTGCAGCACATGCCATGTCTCTTGGTATGCTGGGCTTACAGCTGGGAAGGAAATCTATAGCCCTGAACATAATTTTGCAGAAGCTGATGATTTGTGTCTTATCTGTTATCTCTCTTCATCATTTCCAGATTAAGTCATGTACAGGCAACCTGATTTATATAGCTCAGGGGAATGAGTCATAGACATTAAATGCCCTGTTATCCTTATTTCTTAATCATGTCTCATCCTGGCCATTCTTTAAAAGAAGAAATCTTCTAATATATCTTTAAGAAAAGGCTCCTTGGTCTCTCCTCATTGCTCACATAGACACATTTATTTTTCTGTTGCACATTTCACATGCTCATTTCTTCTCTCTCTCTGACTCTCTCTGTCTCATGTTCTTGCACCCTCCTGGAGGTCCTGTTTTCTTGTATGTGCACTGGTACACAAAGCACAACCAGAACAAAAGACTTGCACATCCTAATTAGCCTGGTTGATTTTTACTTGGTCTGGAGAGCCTTAAAACCTGAAAAGGCATTGAACATYGATGTGTGGCACTTTATCTGACAAGGAAATATTTGTTTTCATAGGTGAGCTACCCAGTACCAGCAATCCTGACCTGCCTGGCTGTGGGGTGAATTGAGATGGAAGAAAACACTCTACTTTCCCAAGAATAGGCACAGGTTGTCTTTTCTTTAACCTTCCAGTTTGTTTCCCCTACTTGTTTGTTTGGGTTGTTTTACCCTCTACCTATTTGAGGTGTGTTTCTGGTTCAATGCCCCTGTAAAGGCCAGAGGAATTAGCACTGTTGAAAGAAATCCAGTASTGAATTGCCCTTGTGCTGTCTGGACTTTGTTATGGCTTCAGTTCATTAAAACCAAGGGATGGACAGCTGGAAGAGAGAAAGAGGGACCAGCTGGAGGAGGACACTTGGYGCTGAGCTTTGGTGAGTCTCCTTTAGGGTCCAGACCTATTTGCTTTTGGAAAGAACACTATGAAAAAGTGACAGCTGTGAAATGGCAGGTTGAGTAGGAAATGACATGTTCCAGGCAAGCTTGAGAAAGAKGGATGCTCTATGCCCTCATTTTCCCAAGTTCCTCGTCTCCAGTTCCCTGAGTGCAGCAGCTCAATATGCAGATGGGTATGTTACATCCCCGCCTCACTTCCCCAGTTCTCTGAGCTTTGTTGGTTTATTCCTCCCACTCCTCTCATTCCTCGGATGCCCCCGAAAAGTGACCTGGGCAGGTCCCATTGCTGGTGGGATGGGCTGCCTGCAGCTCCTGCTGATTGTGGGCATCCCTGAGGAGTTGTGGGCAAGGGCATTTGTCCATGTGGAATCCATCTGCCATGGATCTGAGTACTCTATCCCAAACAGATGGACAAGTCACAGGATGAAGGATGCAGTAGAGAAGCAGTGACTGAAAGAGAGACATGCAACCAGCTGAGAAAAAGGGAAGAGCAAGACTGAACCTTTTTTTTTTTTTTTTTTTTTTTTTTTTTTGTAAACTGAGCTCTTCAAAAGCTGAATTTTACTGTTTTGCTGTAAAACAGCTGTTTT